ATGACCACATACATACATACATACATACTTACTTACTTACTTACATACATATACATACATGCATACACACATGTATACATACAGACAGAGACAGACGGACGGACGGACGGACGGACGGACAGACAGACAGACAGACAGACAGACAGACAGACAGACACACACACACACGCCACAAATAGAACTAACGGGTTCTGGGATGTGCAGGTTATGATTTTGGAGGGATGTTTTGGGGGTGCAAGACAGTCGTTTCGGAGCTTACACCTCTACTACGGATCTGCAGCATCTCCCCGTGGCAGCCTTCGTGCGCATTCTCCGGCGAGAGCTGACGGCCTCCATGACAGGAGGGAGTATGCAAAATGAGAGAGCCGATAGGAGCTAACAAGTCAGAAAATACCCCCTGATGGCAGCGATGTATTTCGTCACGCTCTCTTAACCCATGGAGTAGAAGGACGACTTTTTCGAAATCTTATGTGTGTGCAGCACTGCACCATCGACCCTAAACCTGACATCCAGCAGTGGGTTTAGGGCTTTAGGGTTAGACTCAAAATCTCTGGCTCAAAGGGACAAGAACGTAGATAGCTTGAAGGACATAGAATGTGCTTGCTCTCCTGGTCCTAGTTTGGTGGTAAACGCTGCTGCAGAGAGCGCCGGAACCCTAAGCCGTATAAGAATATGGATAGAACACCCATTGAGGTACGCCTGCTTCTCGCTTGTGAAGTTCTACTTGCTGGAAGGTGCCTTTCCTAGAAAAAACTGTAGCCATTCCGACTGTACGTCTTCTGATCATGATCACAAGTGTTCCTGCCGTGTTCAAGCTGTTGTGCTACAGCTTACTTACTTCATTGCCACTAGCTGGTTCATCGCATCTTTGGCCGCCTCATTGCCTTCCTTCTTCACTTCCACATGCGCATCTTTCGAAGCCTCCTCCTTCACCTCATGCTTGACGTCCTTCAAGCGCTTTGCTAGCAAACGCTAAGCTACCATAAAGCTCATGTTGCACAGGGGCTCAATGTCCGCTGGGACAACCAATCATGGACGTCTCCGAAATGCTAAACTTGACCCTTTCAGAATTGAAACCCCTAAACCACGATATAACCTAGACTTATACACCTCTACACCCCACAACCCTGCACCCGAAGTCGGCCGTCAAACCTTGAACAATCAACCTTCAACCTGAGCCCTATATGGGGTGAATTCAAGCGGCCAGGCAGAGGAACGACGAAGAGCCCTGTCTGGTGGTCGAACAGGCTTCCGTCACACAACAACACATTCATGTCAGCTACTTTCTACAGCCCAATCGCTGTAGAAGTCGGATGCACACTGCAGAGGCAGGTGGAATCCCAGCATCGTGGTCTGTAGAAACTTGTAGCAGTTCCCCAGCCCCGCCCTGCTCCCCTAAATGCGGACCTTTGTTCCAGGATTCCAGGTTAGGGTTTAGGGGTTTTGGGTTTAGGGTTTAGGTGTTTAGGGGTTTGGGATTTGGGGTTTAGGGGTTTAGGGATTAGAGGCTTAGGGTTTAGGGTTTAGGGCAGCGCACCCCCAGTACATAGTCCACAAGCCCTTCAGCCTCGTGCATGATCTCCGCTTTGACTTGTTCGTCCATGTCCTTCGAAGACTCCTCCTTGATCTCTGTCTTCACTTTCTGCTGTCTGTTATTCGAAGCCTCCTCTTTGATTTCTTTTTTCATGTCCTTCATGTGCTGTTGCTGGTCGAAGTTTCCCGAATGTGTGCATGTCGAAACTTCGTCAACAGGTCGCCAAAATGGTTGAAACAGTATAACCAGAAGCCTAAACCCCCAACAGATTGTCTGTGTTCGGGCCATACCGTAGACTGCATGGCTGCCTGCAGGACGTGCAATCCTACTGGCCGTGGCTTACGGGTTTGAGATGGTTAGAGAGTCTCATATATAAACTTGAAATCTACATGCAACCGTTCCCTTGTTGCCATCGACGGGGATGCATGTCTGGGGTTGAGGCCATGAGAAACTCTCCGTCTGGCACCAGAGTGCGACCGAACCTCCTATATATCACAACTCACGCAATGCCGCCACAATATTCAGGTTTAGGCAACCTGCGGGGGATCAGCACGATGATAGCGCTTGCTGATGCACACGGACAGAAAGTCTTGGACGGGTGCAGAGATGGCAGTGCACGGCAATGATTCACCGATTTCTGCGTGGAGCAAAAGCAAGCCGATGAACCGGTTTAGGGTTTAGGGTTTAGGGTTTAGGGTATAGGGTTTAGGGTATAGGGTTTAGGGTTTAGGGTATAGGGTTTAGGGTTTAGGGTTTAGGGTTTGGGGTGAAGCTACACCACAAACCAGGGTCTGACAGCCCCAAATTTTAGTGTCTAAGCAACAAACGTAATAGGGGGCCTCAGTAATACAAACAGGGTTATATTATACTATCCTTATCATAAGGAGCCCCCAGAATAGTATTGGTAACTATTTGGGCCCCTATAGTATCTGGCAAAAGCTTGGTCCCACCCACCTCCTTGACTTCGAGCTTGGTCTCGACCACCGTGCGACTGTGGCTTGCTCGCTCCTGCCGCGATTACACTCTCCCCAATCCCTTATGGCTTGTACATTCAGTTTGTATAACGCGCTGTCTAAACCCATGGCTTCGGATTCTGTTGTGCAAGAAGCTGGTTGGGCCGCAACGAATACCTGGAAGCAAATAACCATCTCCAGGTGATCGCCGCGAGCTCTGAAGGGATCGATCTTTGGTGTTCAGAGTTTAGGGTCCAGGGTTTTGATTGTACGGTCTCCATTGTAGTTCCTTTTTGTGGTTAACCAGTTTTAAGGTTAGGATCCTCTCATAGGGTTCATGAATAACCAAAAAACGGAACTACGATGGAGACTGTAGGTAAAGTCCCTACACCCTTAACACTAATGAGTATTGCTAGGTTTTCAGCTTGAAGGTTCGGCCTTCAACTCAAGCTTACCAAGGGCTCGGCCCTAAACCCTAGGCCAGCTAAGGTTAAAGCTTAGGGTTGAAGTTTAGGGTTTAGGGTTTAGGGCTCAGCCCTAAACCCTAAGCCAGCTAAAGTTTAAGTTTAGGGTTAGGGTTTGGGCTTTTAGGGTTTAGGGTTTAAGTTTAGGGTTTAGGGGCAAACCTGCCTCAACAAGTTCGCCGCGACGCGACTCGTTGGTCTCAAGGCCATGCTAAACCCTACACCCCTAGACCCTACACCCTAAACCCTGGACACTAAGCCCTAAACCCTAAACCCTAATCTCTGAACCCTCGGTCCTAAACCCTATATATACCCTAAACCCCTGAACCCCTAAGACCTTCACCGGTCATGCACCTGCCTCAACTTCTTCCTTCACTTCATGCTTCACCTCCAGGCTTAGGGTTTCAGAGTTTTGGGTTTGGGTTCCCAAAAGATCTACCTTTTTAAGGAACTATATTTATAGACACCCTAGTAAGGTATCCTAACAAGTAGGTTTTTGTTCAGCTACATCTATAGCGCTTAGGGAGCTTAGGGTTCTACGCTCTTAGCAAAAGTAAGGAAGAAAGCATGGCGGTGTAGGGTGAAGGGTTTAGGCTCAAAGTGCCAAAGAAGCAACACCCGTGCAAGGGTTTCAAGTGCTGGGTGAGGTGACCTGGCCTGTAAAAACGGGGATCAGGGCTACTAGGACTAGGAGGGATACTGTACTTTCAGGGGTACTCTCAGGGTTACTAACTGCAAAGGCTACAATAAGGGTTACTAAAAAGCAATAGTATAAGGAGGCTGCTGGAGGCCAGCAGAAAACCAGAAACGAAACGAACGATGGCCACCTGCCTGGAGCTTCTCTTGGACGTCTTGGCCGTGGTCTGGTAACACGCCTTCCAGCTTGTCTGCCTCACAGGAGAATGAGGATTCTACACTGAACCCTAAAGCCCTAAACCCGAAATCTTACAACCTAAACCCTAAAACCTAAACCCTGAAACCCTAAACCCTTAACCTGAAACCCTAGACCCTAAAACCTACACCCTAAAGTTCTGTAGGGAGTCAGGTTGCCCAAGCTGAAATCGACACATCCAGGTGTTCCGACTCTTGCCGGGCGCTTGCAACAACAACAAGATCTGTAGGAGCACAGGTTCAGGGTTTAGGGTTTTAGGGATTAGGTTTAGGGTTTAGGGTTTAGGGTTTAGGGTTTAGGGTTTAGGGTTTAGGGATTACGGTTTAAGGATTAGGGCTTCGGGATTAGGGTTTAGGGATTTTAGGGTTTAGGGTTAGGGATCGGGATTTAGGGCGGCAAGCAAGCACTGACTACTCGATGCCTGGCTCTCCGTTGTCACTTCTTTCTTCACTTTATGAGGTCCAGCTGGCTCCTTCAGATCGTGATTTTGGTCAAGGTCAATGCAGCAGTGACGAGAGGTGTCAAGCGGTTAGTAGTGACCTTCGAGAACATCTCAAGTCAGTAGTCAAAGGAATTCCATGACATCCCGGTTTCGCGAATCGAAGCTTGAAACAACGATGTACATCCTGCTCGAAACATGTCGAATTCCAAAAAACGACAGACACCCTGAGGATGCAGAATCGGAGGTTTAGTATATAGGGAGCTGCGAACACAAGACACTAAATATCTATCTCGTTGTCCAGCCTCAGGGTGTCTGGGCAATCCCTCTTCGTCTAGGGCGCACAGCATCCAACACTTCGTGGCTGACTCATTGGATGGGCAGTGTAAACCTAAGGCTTGTACCCCCAATCGTCAACGAACCACCGGTGCTCCTGGCTTTTGGCACAGTTGTCGATTGTGCCCTCCTGGCAGTGAGACTTGAGCTTTAGCCTTTCATTTCGATCTTGGTTCCATCAACCTCCTAAACCCTGGCGCCAATCCCAACGAGCCCGAAACCAAATCCCATGTTCCGACAGCCCGTAAACCCTGAACCCTAAGCCCTACCTGGACCCTAAAGAACCTACTTTTTTCAAGGACTCATATAAGGAAGTCATAATAAGGAACCTAAAAGGGGTAGGTACTTGAGGGTCCAGGTCAACACTCGCTAATCCCTAACCCTAACCCTTAAACCCTAAACCCTGAACCCTAAACCCTGAACCCTAAACCCTGAACCCAAAACCCTAAACCCTAAAGACGCGGACCTACGGACCTTTCTGGAACTACGCGGCAGGCTCTTCAAGTGCTAAAGCGCCGTTAACGAATCCTTTAGGATTCACTCTGAAGCCCTCAGGGTTTACATTTTAGTCTCGGGCTGCTAGTAAGCCAACCAGAAACCTACTAGAACACCAATCCGATATTGCAACGGACTATAACATGCTGACCCCTAGGCGACACATCAGCACAGCTAACATCTCAAGTATATATAAGCTTTGAACTCCACAACATCTGAAAACAAAGACGGCATCCCCAAAAAGCTTCTTCGCAACTACACAGCAATCTCGATTCCCTGGGCCCAAAGCCTCAGTCCATCAAACTAAGCATTCACCCTAGATCCTCAACCCTTCCCCTGTAAACAATTGACACAACGGCTTTCTGCAACCCCGGACGAAGACCAAACACCTGCCCTTCCAACCCTAGACCCTACGTGGCACGCCCTAAACCCTATAAGCCGTGACCCTAAACTTTGACACTGAACCACGAACCCTGAACCCTAAACCCAAAGCGGGCAGAAGCGTAACATCGGCATCAAAGTCGCAGCCTGACATCTGAACTCCTCAAGAACCTGAACCCTGAACCCTAAACCCTAAACCCTAAACCCTAAACCCTAAACCCTAAACCCTAAACCCTAACACCCTCACAGCTCAACGCTGCTCGATCTACACTCCGTGGCCTCAACTAGGTGTCGGTTTCAACAGCCCCGTAGCTGGGGTTCTACATTCAAGACTTAAAGGAGTTGTTCACAAAAAGCTATCATCCCAAATCGGTGCTTTAAGCGAAACTGGAGCAGAGAAAACTGCGTTAGGGCCGAGGGTGGAGTGGGGCATGCTGGGTGCGCTTCGAGCCTTCCGAGGGGGCCGAGGCTTGCGCTGCTTGGCAACCTTGACCGAAAGAACGACCACCTGGGCGACGGTTGAGGGGTTTAGGGCTTAGGGAGTTCAAGGTTTGTGGTTTAGGGTTTACGGATTGCAAGACATTGCTTCTGGCACCTTTTAGGCTTAGGATTTGTGGATGAAGGAGCCAAATGCCAAAAGCAGTGCACCTTGGGACCAACCACTCGGAGATCTAGCACCCTAAAGCTAGGTGCGTGGACCCTGCAGATTGGGCTTTCCGTCACTCCAAAACCACAGTAAACACCAGAAACCTAAGCAAACCATGCTCGGACTACACAAAGAGCTAAAGCCAAATCCTGACACCCTGAACCCCTATACGATGGGGTTGCCTTGGCAAAGAGAACAGCTTTCTTCTTGGAAGTTGATAAGGTTCTATAAGAATTCTTCGGGAATATATCATCAGGGTATCAGGACTGTCAGCGGATATTCCATTACTAATTGTCCGCCAGCCCCTGCATCCCAGCACCCTCAACATTTGCGGCTTAAGAGTTTCGGTGTCACGTCGTACGGCGTACTTAGCCCTAAACCCTAAACCCTAAACCCTAAACCCTAGACTTAGAAGCTTCGGTTATAACAGTCATAACTTAGGTAACTATACTTGTATTTACTTATAATATCCACGACCTTAATTACTAAAGTCCTACGATCCTCCAAGTAGGCTTTATGGCTAATCTTCTGGAGATGGGTGTTGCTATGATCTGTAGGGCTAGGCTGTAAGATTAGGGCTCTTCTTGTACAAATGGGTGTCCGGTTCGGTTACCTGCTAGGCCCGCTAGGCATTCAGCTCCGTGAAATGCGAAACTACTCCTACAAGGGTTTAGGACTTGGAACTTTATGCTTGGTCCACCGGGTAGTTGTACCCCTGTTTTGGGTGCTTAATTTTACTTCGAATTGGGACAACACTAAATCCATCTAAACCCGTTTAGGCCATGAAAGTACTTCACGCATCCTAATGAAACCAACACAGTCTCAAGCATCCTAATGAAACCAACACAATCAGAATACCCTAAGGCTGCAAGTGCCTCCGGTTCCAATGAGGCTGCACTTTGACAGAAAGAATTAGGCTACAACGTGCTGGAACCACAACGAAGAATCAGGTGCTGTCTCGGTTTGGACATCATATCTGAAAACCATACTGGGCCGAATGCTTCGGGCAAGTTCAGGGTATAGAGTTGCTCAGATCAACTTTACACGACTTGTAGACGAGCTGCATCCGAACACTCCATGGCAACGTCTCTTGCAACAGTGAGATCTTGAGCCGTGCTGCATAGCTGCAGGATGCACGGGAATCCCTTTTTCCAGCCGCAAGCACTTAACCCTAGATCCCAAACCTAAACCCCTAAATCCTAACCCCTGAGAAATGTAGGTTATAGTTTCTTCAGCCCAAACCAGAAATCCCTGGCCATTTCAGATCCTACGAAACCCAGACAGTTTCAGTTCTAACCAAGCCGCAACTCGAACCCCAAAACCCTACATTCTAACCCCTTGAAGCCCGACTAAACACTAAAACCCCTGTTCAAATCCTCTAGAGGTTTCTCAAAGACAGGCT